GGGACTGCCATGGATCCGGGCACAGGGACAGACAAGGACACGGCAGGACAGCTCCGGGCAGCCCCTGCTCCCACCGCTGCTCTTTTCCAAGGCCAGAAATCCCATTTCTAAGATCGCAGGAATTGCTCTGTCACTGCCCAGCTCCTCTCCCCTCCCTCAGCCTCACATTCCCGGCACCGATGGAACAGGCTGGAACCACACAGCCATGGAATCCTGGAATGGTTTGGGTGGAAAGGGACCTTAAAGCCCATCCAGTGCCACCCCCTGCCATGGGCAGGGACACCTTCCACCAGCCCAGGTTGCTCCAAGCCCCGTCCAACCTGGCCTTGGACACTTCCAGGGATCCAGGGGCAGCCACAGCTTCTCTGCCCAACCTGTGCCAGGGCCTCCCCACCCTCCCAGCCAGGAATTCCTTCCCAATATCCCCTCCATCCCTGCCCTCTGGCAGTGGGAAGCCATCCCATTCCCAGCTTGGAGCACAGCCCATCTCTCCAGGCTCAGGATACACTGGATGGATGCTGGAGGTAGCACGTGCCTTGAAAACCTCTAGGACAGGGGAAAAGAGGGAATTTAACGTGGTTAATGGGATTTCTGGGCAGACCTGCAGTGCTGGGAGCTGAGGAGGGGCTGCCCTGGCCCCACAAAGCCCCCCCAGCACTGAGCCCTCCTCCCTCCTCCCCTTCCCTTGGAGCTCTCACAGCTCCAATCGTCACCAGGGAGGGAAAAATCCGGGTTTAAAATAAAAATCAAAGGGAATGTTTTTGTGATTGGTTTAAACAAGGTGTAATTTGGTATTTAAGAGCATCTCGTGTTTGCTCTTGCTGAGAGCAGCAGCAGAGGGGAGGGAAGGGGAGGGGATGGGCAGGTACTGCCTGCACCCACCCCACTTCCCTATGGGAAACACCCTGGGAATCCCAGGGATTGGTAAAATCCCGGGAAACTCCCCAGGGAAATTTTAGAAACCTTGCAGCTTTGAGTTCTTTCCATATATAATTTTTTCTATATTTCACTTTGGTTATAATCAGAATTTGTTTTGATCAGGGCAACGAAAACAAGGCTTGGGCTTCTCCAGCACTTCATGTGAGGATGTGAGAAATGGGGTATTTATAAAACATGTCAGTCAGGGCGTGGAGGAAACTCTGGGAGCCATTCCGGGTGCGTTCCACCGGTAATTAGCTATAAATACACCCTCGTTTGGTGGCTGAGTAGAATAAATATTTATTTATTCTGCTTAGACGTGGAGGAATAGCTGTGTTCAGCAGCTCCCCCGAGCCCCTCATCAGAGGAGCTTTAATGAAGAGAACAGGCAGGTGTTTTGAGGAGCTTTTCCCTTTAATTCTGAGGCAGGATTGTGCCAGGATCCCTTTCATCCCGGGCTCCAGCTGGGAA